CCAGTTTTCTTTTCTAAGAAAAAAAAGAGATTATTTAGTCACACTGTGCTCTTGTGTAAGGCTAAAATGTCAGTGAATGTGAATTGAAATGAAGGGAATGTCGAAAAGTGCACAAGCTGTCGAATGCATCAGAGCTGCATGTGCAGCTGTTTTAAAGCAAGACAGAAACACTTGTCCCACCTCTCGGAGCGGCTCATTCAGCTCTCCCAGGATGCTCTCCTCGTCAAACATCTTGCCCTGGTAGCGGTGCTCATAGTAGTCGTGGATTCTCTGCCTCATATCTGCAGGCAGCTTGTGGAAGGACATGTACTGTTCCACCTGTTTGTACTGCAGGGACATAGAGACACACAACAATCAGGTTATCTAAAGGCCATAGGGCTGTAGCACAAAAACACTGCTACAGGGAGCAGCTGGTACTGAGGTCAGACACACAAGGAAATGGAGACAGATTCAGGATGGCTATCCGTGCCCTTTCAAATTTCACCCAAAAAGAGAGCACTTTTCCAGTCTTTGATCAGGTCTCTTAAAGTCTCTCTTTCTCTCTCGGAAGTCACACTGTCCTGAATATTTGTTCACTGAATGTACTAACTTCTAAAAGATAAGGGTGAGAGAAAGGAACGCTACAGTCATGAAGTACAAAGTCAAACTGACCTTTAAAAGTGCGCTACAGCAGCTAATGTGAATATGAAGTAAATGTAGATCTTAAATTATTAAATACATATTCATTTTGTTCATGCAGAGAAGAATAGATTAGAGTGTATGTTGTTCAGTTGAAACAATCAAAGTGTTTCTGTTTTTACAGTACAGACTTGTGGATTAATATCCTCTGTTGTTGAAAGATATAACTATTTAAATGTGTGTGTCAAAAAGCCTTTGACTGATTCTGTAGCAGTAGCAGCAGAGATGTAGATCAAAGCACACTGGGAGCACCTTGGAGATAATAATGGGCTGAATCCTTAACCCGCTGTGAAGGAAAATAAGGAAAAAGAAAAAAAGAAGAAATTAACCATTCAGAGGGTGACGCTGGTGGTGCTCTTTGATCACAATGACTAAGCTGCCAGAAGACTTACCGCTGACTAACACAGCTGACCTCAGAAGCCTTCTTCTTTGTTTTCTCACAATACTACTACTCTTGTTGGCGCTAATCTTAAAGGAATTCATCAAAGCTCCTGCTTTGTTAAAATAAATAAGAACTGTTTTCTACAATTTACAGGTGAAACAAATCGAGTTTCGCAGTATAGAATATCGAGCAAGACAAAATATGGTGCACGAGGCTTGACCATGGGACAAAATGTGCCTACCAGTAACATCCAGGGCTCCTGCACTATTTTAAAAATAAACTAAATTTTTAAGAGCTCTTTTAAACCTTCATTGAGTCCTTTACAAATAAAACCTAAGAAAAAAAATCACAGTTAAATTATATTCAGGTTTTCATAAACAAGCAGGTATAAGCAAGTATTGAACTGTTTAGTAATCCATACAATAAAGAACTTGATGCTTTTCTTTACCACACACAGTAGTAAAATGATTCTATTTGTACAGGAAAACAAGTGCAACAATTTTAAAAGAGTGCTATAAAAATCCAAAACTTAATTAAACTAAAATTTATGTTATTCAATAATATTTCTGCCCACATAAAATGTGCAGGATATTTTAAGACCTTAGTTTGCTTGATTTAAATTTCTGACTGTGACATCTTTTATCGCTGCACTGGCTTTTGACACCTACATTCCTCACTTTCTACCACTTTCTCTCTTTCCTCCTATTGCCATATTTAGAAGAGTTATTTGACCAGGCCCTTGAATCCCTCACGGACGGAGAAGCAATCTACAATGACCCTGTGAATATTGATGATAAGGCTCCTTTGACTGTGAACAGCTAGTTATGAACTATTACATGGCTCCACTCTCAATCCTGGACAAAAAACTGATTACAGATTAGGCAAACTGCTTGAAATATGTTTTACACCAGTTCCACCATATTAAATAGTTTGTAGTTTATTCTATTTAACAACTTTTGTAGGAATGTCAAACAAAGTGAATTATATTTTTTTTGTGTAGCAACACTGTGTAATTTGATGTGGAAGGTCAAATACTTGAAAAAGCATAAACAAGAAGTGGAGCTTATATTAATCCGGTCTCTCTGTCAATGTCAGGGTATGAATATGAATAAGAAATGTTGTGGGTGACAGTAAGAGTTTGAATCTTTATCCACACTATCCCTTTAGCATAAAATTAAGAAATGTACTGATCCAATGATAACACTTATTTCACAGAAATGCTGTAGGTGATGATCAAGATGTTTCCAACGTAGACATCTTTAGGTGCAGTAGCAGTCGCTGCTGAGTATTGCACCAAAGGTGGCATTTCTATATGTGATGCAGGGTGAAGATGACGGGTATCTCAAATTATGAATTAGTCTAACACTGTTGTCTTCTGCTTTAGACATGTTTCAGTACAGTGCATTGCTTTAATTAGTTTTTTTGTGCATGAAGTATTAACACTTTGAGAAACTTATTTGAACTTTCAACATCTAATTTATGTACAGCTTTGTAGCATATTGCAGTCTGGTTCTCCCAGCACAAAAGAGTATTAGTCAAGTGAACAAATGCAAGATAATGTCTTATTGCTTCTGCAGTTTTGATGAATAACTGTATTACACGGAGTAACTCGGCATCACACTTGAAAGCATTTCAAATTTACTAATCACTGTGCTGGATGCAAAGACACCGATCATCAGAGGCGCAGGGGGGCATTGAGGGATAGGGCAGGGAAGGCATTCTTTTCCCGATGATATGATGGGCTGGTAAAATCCCCTCTGGGAGGGAAATTGTTCTATTGCTCAAAGATCCCTGCTCTCCTGATCTACGTGAACAAATCAAATCAGTCTGCATTTAGGTGGTAATTATTTCACCATCAGATTTCCTTGCTTCTATCTGAACACTAGAAAGATTCTGGCTGTAATATGGATCTCTTATAATGTCTATAATGATTATTTCATGTTTCTTAGCTTTCCTCCCACCTTCCTTTACTCTGGTAAGTCCAGGATGATGACAAAAGTCTAAGGTGATGTGGCCCAAATAAAAGATGTTTTAACTGTGGTACAGGTATAGTGGATTAATTAGTGATTATTTGTGGTGTTGTTTCTATGTTGACCTTTAATAAAGATTGCTACCTTTTTTGTTCTGGCAAGCTCCTTATGTTTTTGGTTGTTTATAGTAACTCTGTATTGAGAATTAAAGAAAAGAGTATCCATGTCCTGATCTAACTTGTTTCTTTTGACAATTTTACTCAGCTTTAGTTGTTTTAAAGATGCAGTGACTGTAGCGTTTGTTTCTTCTTGTTTTACAGGAAAAGAAATTTCGCAAAGAAAGTTTGGCACCTAATTAGTCCTGCACTGTTTGTTGAAGAAACACTGAGACGAGCAGCTCATTTGATGCGTGTTATTACTCTTCTTGGATGTACACGTTACAGTTTCTGAAATATATGAAGATTTATTGCAAAAAAACAAACAAACAAACCAAAACTTTTCATTTTGGGGTTGAATGTTCAGAGTTAACTGTCAGAGTGGGAGAAGCAGAAAATTCTTTGGAAATTATTTATCTCTAACCTGCAGCTGAGCTTACTTTATTTACTCTATAGTCTTCAATTTATCACCAAAAAAGTAGAAATTATGTCATTTTCAGAGTCAGCAAATTTACGTGCTTGATCTATAGGTAGCTGAGTGAGAGGAGTAGCCTCTAAAAGACCTACCGAGATCTAATATAAATTAACAAGTGTTTGTAAAAACAGAAATTTGCTTTTATGACATTTTATCACTAGAAACCAACACATAGACACACACAAAAAACACAGATCTGTAAATCAACTGTTTAGGGCGCTTGCAGTTTTCAAACCACGTTGTGGTTTAAAAACTGTGGTTTTGACTTCCTCCTCAGATTCCTCTGTTTTTCACATTGCAACACATCATCATAGCAGCTTTAACAGCTGCTTTACTGACACAGGAGTGAACAACTGACAGTTGATGTGCTAGCTTTCATTGATGGATTTAAAACACTTTTTATCTTTTCCTGGTTGGTGCATACTTTTGATGTATTTTCTATTTCACCCAAATAAATGAATACATCGAATGAATAAAAGATGAATGATCTGAGTATTTTTTCCTTACCACTGTAAAAAAGTGAAGCCACAATTCTAACATAGGGAAGTTGAGCTTCCATTTTTGGAGCCACAGTCAGTGTTTTAGTGATTTGGGATGTATCCACACACACTGTATCCACAACTGCCTGCACTTATGTAGCCTGATTGCTATAATTGTAACAATCTCTGCTTTCAATAGGCTTGTTCAAATAAGTTTAACTACTAACCACATACAGTAGCACACAGCTGTATCTAAAAAGGCACACACAGTATGAACATACTACATTTCAATGTATAAATGCCATTCTGTAGCTTCTATTCTCACTGTATTAGCTATTAGAAGCTAATTAGAAGCTAGCACAAACCATCTAACATGTCAACATCTTGTAGTAAACAATTCTACAGACATGTTTTTTATAGAGTCATTAAGCTTATGCTTAATAGTTGTGTGTTTTCTTCCATCACTGGTTGAATCTAATTGAAAGAGACTTACACTGATTTTCAGTTCTGTTTTAATTGAGCTATTTGTATACAGCTTTTATCTGTCTGTCTCCCTGATTGTCTGTGTTTTTGATTGTGGACATGTAGTATGGGAGACATATTTTTGAGGTTTTCTAATTCCGGCAGTTTAAAACCAAAAGTTTAAAGCTGCCTATATTGTTAAATATCTCGATGCAGACAAAATAATGTGGTTATTATTTCTTCTAGGTCCCATTCAAAATATTCTTTTTCTGTCTGTGCCTTTTCTCTGATATAAACATTCAAATTATTTTCCAGAGTTCTTTCTCTCTCATGTAGCTAAGCAGATGCAAATTCTTACCAAAGAAATCATGAATAATTTATTCCCCCAAAGAGATATTGGTTACTTAATTATACTTTTTAAAAATGTATTTATTTCCACTGTGCTCTCCTGCCTTCTTCCTAACCTAGAGTTGTGTAGTCAAAAGATATCTGCCACACATTTAGGCAAAAATTTTCACTGACTAATATAATGATGAAAAACGGGTAACAGAGAAATTAGAGATTAATGCTACAGGAATGCTCTAAAATCACTATTTTATTTAAGAGATAACTAACATAGAAATTCAAAATCTGGAGGATTGGGTAATTATATTTTATCATCAATATACCTTTGAATTCCATGATAATGATTAAGAAATTTCAATTTTGTATCTTTTCTGTGAATAA